CACCTTAGGGTCTACGGAGTTGACATTTGCCACCTTGGGGCCAACAGAGTTGAGATTTGTCACCTTAGGGCCTACAGAGATGACATTTGTCACCTTGCGGCCCACAGAGTTGACATTTTCACTCGAGGCTGCGCCATTCAGGAAAATATAAACCTAGGAAAGTAGGTCACTCAAAGAGATAAACATTTGACAAAAAAAAGACAAATATCCTCGATTACCACTCATAACAAACACTTCCCAGAGGACCCATGACGATCCGGGGAGGATTTGTCTTCAGCATCCCATGCTTGTCGTGAGGGGCGACTAACGGGATCGGGTGGTCAAGTTAGCTATCTTGGTTAATGCATGTCATCGTATGCTAATTGCGTGGATCGATGCTCATGATGCCAATCATTGGTTTGCCTGGTCCAACACGCTTATTACAGACCGCCGTCAAAGGGCTGGAATATTGCTGGGTTAAACAGTTAAACAACGAACAAACAAATATAAGCACTTCACACAGATAAAAACAACAAACAAGGCCCAGTGACTGCTATCCTCGGTTATCTACCGTATTATTGCTTCCCGATCGATGGCATTCCAAAAATTAACAAGTTAATACGAAAACAACCAACAGTAGCTTCGTTTCGGAAGTGACGTCAGCTTCATCTCGTTAACCTGTAATAATACACTGGATAATCGAGGGTGAATTGCGTTTAAATATGTATGTTGGATGGCTAGTTAAGGTTATACTAGTATTTGAAGAGCTGCCATTCTCCTAATCACCTGCAACAACGGTAGTACCACGATATATACCGCCTTTGTAAAGTCTCGCCAAGACGTAATAATGTCTGTGTATGAAATACTGGGTTGCTGAAAATCTTAGACCGATCCTCATCGTAATCTTCAAGTACACACACCAACACTTGGGTGTTTGAGCAACCTGCTATGGCTGCCAAATGCTCGAATATATTCAGCTTCTTAGTGACCTGGGCCAACTTGCACAAAGCGATCTTAGCGCTAAGATGATCGTAACTCCCATACTTTAACATAGACTTACGCTAATCTTAGCGCTAAGATCGCTTTGTGCAAGTGGGCCCAGATAGGACAACAGCCTGTTCGTAACGAGGCCACGCTGCACGGTATTCAAGGGCCGGGGTTTATCAGGTTGACCTGATGCCCTGTCGAACTCTATCTGATGATTATAAATGGCCCAGTCTCTATCAGACTAACATTCCGCCATAATCGTGTACACCTTGCGGTAAATTTCCGTGGCACGTGCTGTCATGACATCCATTGGGTCACGTGACACCATGACATACCCGGTCAGTGACCGCGGTTTCATATCTCCAGCTGTTGTCCAAAAACGTCTGACGTGCCCATCTGTTGAGTTCAACTGTCCTTACCAAATCCGACGTCCCGTCTTAGACAGACAACAGGACCCAGTTAGATGGGCCATCTGGTTTGAAATAAAGTAGTTATCGTCGGCTGGGCAGCTCTTAACACTGTTTATTGTATGGACACCCCAAGGCTGTAGAATTATAATGTGGCAGAGTGGGTGGGTGGCTGGGTCAGGGTGGGAGTCCACTTGTGCCATTTGTTACTGCAGTCGCTATTGTTCTATTGTCCATGTCTAGTTCAACTGTATCCCATTATTGTTCTAACTTGTGCATCTACATTCCTCTATTGTTCGGGGCGGTCGGGTAGCCTAGTGGTTAAAGCGTTCGCTCGTCACGCCGAAGACCCGGGTTCGATTCCCGACATGGGTACAATGTGTGAAGCCCATTTCTGGTGTCCCCCGCCGTGATATTGCTGGAATATTGCTAAAAGCGGCGTAAAACCTCACTCACTCACTCACTCGTCTATTGTTCTATTGTCCATGTCTAGTGCAACGATATTGTTGTATTGTCCATGTCTAGTTCACCTGTACCCCACTATTGTTCTATTGTCCCTGTCTAGTGCATCCCTATTAATGTTCTATTGTCCCTGTCTAGTGCATCTCTTTTGTTCTATTATCCCTGTCTAGTACATCTCTTTTGTTCTATTATCCCTGTCTGATACATCTCTTTTGTTCTATTATTCCTGTCTAGTACATTTCTATTGTTCTATTGCCCAAGTCTAGTGCATCTCTTTTGTTCTATTATCCCTGTCTGGTACATCTCTATTGTTCTATTATCCCTGTCTGGTACATCTCTATTGTTCTATTATCCCTGTCTAGTACATCTCTATTGTTCTATTGTCCCTGTCTAGTGCATCCCTTTTGTTCTATTGCCCCAGTCTAGTGCATGTCTATTGTACTATTTTCCCTGTCTAGTACATCTCTATTGTTCTATTGTCCCTGTCTAGTGCATCTATATTGTTCTATTGTCCCTGTCTAGTGCATCTATATTGTTCTATTGTCCCTGTCTAGTGCATCTCTATTGTTCTATTGTCCCTGCCCAGAGCATCTATATCGTTCTATTGTCCTTGTCCAGTGCATCTCTATTGTTCTATTGTCCCTGTCTAGTACATTTCTATTGTTCTATTGTCCCTGCCCAGTGCTTCTCTCTTGTTCTATTATCCCTGTCTAGTACATTTCTATTGTTCTATTGCCCCTGTCTAGTGCATCTCTATTGTTCTATTGTCCCTGCCCAGTGCATCTCTTTTGTTCTATTATCCCTGTCTAGTACATCTCTTTTGTTCTATTGTCCCTGTCTAGTGCATCTCTATTGTAATATTGTCCCTGCCCAGTGCATCTCTTTTGTTCTATTATCCCTGTCTAGTGCATCTCTATTGTTATATTGCCCCTGTCTAGTACATCTCTTTTGTTCTATTGTCCCTGTCTAGTGCATCTCTATTGTTCTATTGTCTCTGCCCAGTGCATCTCTTTTGTTCTATTATCCCTGTCTAGTACATCTCTATTGTTCTATTGCCCCTGTCTAGTGCATATCTATTGTTCTATTGTCCCTGTCTAGTGCATCTCTATTGTTCTATTGTCCCTGTCAAGTGCATCCCTATTGTTCTATTGTCCCTGTCTAGTGCATCTATATTGTTCTATTGCCCCTGTCTAGTACATCTCTATTGTTCTATTGCCCCTGTCTAGTACATCTCTATTGTTCTATTGCCCCTGTCTAGTGCATCTCTATTGTTCTATTGTCCCTGTCTAGTACATCTCTATTGTTCTATTATCCCTGTCTAGTACATCTCTATTGTTCTATTGTCCCTGTCTAGTGCATCTCTATTGTTCTATTATCCCTGTCCAGTGCATCTCTATTGTTCTATTGTCCCTGTCTAGTGCATCTCTATTGTTCTATTGTCCCTGCCCAGTGCATCTATATTGTTCTATTGTCCTTGTCAAGTGCATCTCTATTGTTCCAATGTCCCTGTCTAGTACATGTCTATTGTTCTATTGTCCCTGTCTAGTGCATCTCTGGTGTTCTACTCTCCGAGTCAAACGCATCTGTACGCAGTCTAAATGCACGTCATACACATTATGTTACTCGCCCTAACATAATAATATTTCAGTTTCAGCCATTTGCACAAAATGAAAACTCTCAACACAAGTATTAAAGTAGAAATAATTCTAAATTATTATTTATTGAAAAAGTAAGGTACAGGCAGCATTATTACATACCTCAAAGATTTTGGACCAAGTAAATTATCTACTGTGGCCCTGTGCACAGCGCAGAGTTCACAAATCAGGTGAAGTTAAGCAACGTCGGTCTCGGAGAGTAGTTGGATGGGTGACCACGTTAAGTAGCTTGACTCCTGAGAGTTTCTAGGGCTTCGGCCCTGCCCCACACTGAAGCACATGTACCACATGCGGTGTCCCTTGAGGCAAGAGAATGTGTTCGAAATGTGCCTCTGTCCACCCAGCAGTGAGTGGGTACCCGGTAGGATGAGATGTAATGTGGCTGTTAACCTCCTAGCGTCTCACATGCAGCTTGGGTTGTATACTCCCCAGGTAGCTGAGAATGAAAATCGAGTGCTCACTGATCCATTGACCGGGGTAATAATAGTGTAGCGCTTGGTGAGTGGAATCTGGTGCATTATAAATGCACTTATTATTATTACTGTTTATGAAAACTTGCTGCACATCCGCAAGAGAGACAAATGATTTGCTGATCACAATGAAAGCAATGCAGAATCTTGGCTGACATGTTCCCACCCATGTAACACCTATGTTGCTTTTGAGGTTCTTATACAAAATTCCTGTCTTAGGCAAGAAACACCTTCTTAGCATGTCCTGATAGTAGAGGTCTTCAGCAAGGTGAGGTGAGGTGAAATGGGGTTTAACGTCGCGTCCAAGATTATTGCACTTATATAGCGACGTGCATGTACTCGGTGTGTTTGTGTGGCTGCTTGTACTAGTCCGGACTGATGCCGATTTATAGTGCTAGCTCACTGAGATACCATGCCGCAGTTTAACATGAATACCCCACTCAGACACAGTATACTGACTCCGAGCCGACCAGTCCTTGTTTTAGCCCCTTAATGCCGAGCGCCAGACAGGGTAACAACAATTACCATCTTTTAACGTCTTTTGGTATGACGCGGTTGGGGATCGAACCCCGGACCTTCCGCTCTCCAGGCGGACGCTCTACCACTAGACCACGGAGGCGGTCAGGTCTTCAGCAAACCCATGCTTGCCGTAAAAGGTGACTATGCTTGTCGTAAAAGGCGACTAACGGGATCGGGTAGTCAGGCTCGCTGACTTGTTTGATGCATGTCATCGATCCCAATTGCGTGGATCGATGTTCATGATGTCAATCACTGGATTATCTGGTCCAGACTCGATTTTTTACAGATCGCCGTCATACTGCAGGAATATTGCTGAGTGAAGCGTAAAACAACAAACAAATGTACATTAATTGTTGTCGACATTATTTCAGCCAGGAAGAACTCAATATCCTTTGATCAAAGTAGACAACCCCCAATCCCCAAATAGGGAGTGTCGAGAGCATTGATGGATGAACGTCAGCCAATCAATGCGCAGCACGCAAACCTCCCTTGATGTAGATTGTGCTTGTTATATGTTCCAGGGAAGCTGTACGATGTGACTGGGTCGTTCACGTCGCCGTTCATGATGGCGGGGTCTATGTACGTCGTCTCCTTCATCTCCACCTGCATCGTCGCCTTCCTCAGACGTAGCGGTCCCGCCGTCACCGTGGAGGAGGAGGTGGAAGTTCCGGCGGAAGTGCCGACGGAAGACAACGCTGCATGATCGGCTATAAACGTTGTATTCCGTCAATTATCTACAGAATGCGTTTTAAGAAAATCGTGGAGCGTTTTAACGTTGCGACCTGCGACACAAGACATGTGTGTGTTTAATATTGATCATTGGATGTGCGTGCTGTGGTCCTCAAACAACGTCTGACGCCACGTTTTTCAAGTTTAAAGTCAAGGTCATAAGGGGATGTGACTGTTGCGGTTTTTAATGTTATGAAGACTGTGCCACCGCATACCCGTGCTCGATAAAAATGATGTGAAGGGTAATTCGAGTAACGAATACCAGAGACATGTGTCAACCCATCGCATGAACATTTGGCAAATGCGATTTGGATTAACTCTATACGTGATGAAAAACATCCGAGTAATATCTCGGTCACATTCAATCGTTTAAGTGTGACATCACATACTTATCTCGAGGCTCGCATGCGATCGATTCCGAATGCAAGTCGTTCTGAAACAGTCGGAATGGCACGGACTATCATGAATGCCTCTTGCTCTGTTTCAGTTTCGGTATCACGTGACTTGACGTCGTCAATCCTATGAGTCTTAGAATAATAAAATTATCAAGTATTCTTTTGGGGTCCGCAAGCCCAATCCGGTATATAAGCGAGCTCCGGATACAACCTGCCTGGTGTATCGAGAGTGTAATGTTCCATCGTCCGGAATAGGAAGGTTTTGCAATAATGAGGAACTGTACATTGTTATATCATGTCTTCCTTTAGAATGTGTTTTATACAAGCCCTGACTGTTATATTGTCAACATGTTCAAGACGAGTGCTATCTTTAAGTGCTCGCTGAAAAAACCCGTCTGTCTCAAAGTCCTGCTCCATTTTCCGACTGTAACAATCACCTGTGAAGTGTTCCGGTGACACTTGTAGACACGGTTGGGAACCCCATATTTATTTTTAGATAATGGCCTCTGGGTATGCGCACTCTTACGCAAATGTTAGCGTTCTGTATTCGGTGTAGGACATTAATTTGGGACCCCCATTTCGTAGACTGTGACCCCCCATCTTGTTTATTGAGACCCCCATTTCGTAGACTGTGACCCCCATCTTGTTAATTGAGACCCCCATTTCGTAGACTGTGACCCCCATCTTGTTTATTGAGACCCCCATTTCGTAGACTGTGACCCCCATCTTGTATACTGAGACCCCCATTTCGTAGGAGGAGACCTCTATCTTGTTTAATGGGACACCCATTTTGTGGACTAGGACCCCCATCGTGTTTAATGGAACACCCATTTTGTGGACTAGTACCCCCATCGTGTTTAATGGAACACCCATTTTGTAGACTGGGACCCCCCCTTTGTAGATTGGTAACCCAATTCCGTTTAATGGAACACCCGTTTTGCAGACTGGGACCCCATTTTTGTTTATTGAGACCCCCATTTTGTGGACTGGGACCCCATCTTGTCCAATGGGACCGCCATTGTGTAAACTATGACCCCCATCTTGTTTATTGGAACCCCCTTTTTCGTTGACTGGGACTCCCACTTTGTAGATTGCGACCCCCATTTTGTAGACTGGGACCCCATCTTGTTTATTAGGACCCCCATTTCGTAGACTGTGACCCCCATCTTGTTTAGTAGGACCCCCCCATTGTGTAGAATATGAATCCCATCTTGTTTATTGGAACCGACATTTTGTGGACTGGGACTCCCAATTTGTAGACTGCGACCCCCATTTTTGTAGATTGGGACTCCGAATTTGCAGATTGGGACCCCCATTTTTAACCTTGTACCCCTACAATTAAAGGCTTTGAGTCCCTTAACTCCAAAATAATCTAACCCAGGTAAACTGTTATTTGTCCATATGTCTTAAACACTTGTGATGTGTGGAAATGCGATTGTAGACATACTGTTTCCATGTTATTGCTGTTTGTGTCATACGTCTAGGATAATATGAGAATGAAAATATTAAATCTATATCTATGCAAAGTGAGACTGAGTGAGTGAGTGTTTGTTTGTTTGTTTGTTTGTTTGTTGTTTAACGCCGCACTCAGCAATATTCAAGCTATATGACGGCGGTCTGTAAATAATCGGGTCTGGACCAGACAATCCAGTGATTGACATCATGAGCATCGATCTACTCAATTGGGATCGATGACATACATCAACCAAGTCAGCGAGCCTGACCACCCGATCCCGTTAGTCGCTTCTTACGACAAGCATAGTCGCTTTTTACGGCAACTATGCTTGTCGTAAAAGGCGACTAACGGGATCGGGTGGTTAGGTTCGCTGACTTGGTTGATGCATGAGTGAGTGAGTGAGTGAGTGAGTGAGTGGCTTGGGTTCAACAACAACAGCGAATATCGGCGCCTTATTCGACGGGGCCACCCGCACCCCCTTTAGAGTGACACCAGGACTACTTTAGCAATCCAGGGTTGCAAGGAGGGCAAGTGCTAATAAAACAGTGACGTTATGTTGGGAATAAGAAGTCTATCATGTGTAACTATAAAGTGTATGTGATTTTTTTCTGAATAAAACAATAAAACATTGGGTTTGTTTTGTTTACATTGTATAATGACAGTGGCATATAGAGTGAAGAGTGAGTGAGTGAGTGAGTGAGTTGGGTTTAACGCCGCTTTTAACAGTATTCCAGTTATATCGCGGTGTGTCAGCTTAATGTGGGAGGACAGCCCGAAGTGATGCAGGTCTCAGACGTTTACCACTTCGGTGAAACCCACGGGCACGGGAATGGGGCTGACAAACCTAGAAACATAGTCGGGGCGAACCGGGATTCGAACCCACAATCATAGGTTTCTGGCATGCCCAAGAGACGCAACTCTGCACAGCGAATCTCGGCGCCTTAGACGACTGAGCCACCCGTGAGTAGTAACTAGCATCGGTCTGGGACCGCTCCAGATTCTGGGACCGCTCCAGATTCTGGGACCAAGATGGCGGCACATCCGTTTCCGGTCACGTGACCTGCGCAGTGCATGATGGGATACCTGCGCGCGCATCCAAGATGGCGTCACTTCCGTTTCCGGTGGCGCACGCCTGCAAGATGGCGTCGCATCCGTGTCCGGTGGCGCGCGCATGCAAGATGGCGTCGCATCCGTGTCCGGTGGCGCACGCATGCAAGAGGGCGTCGCTTCCGTGTCCGGGGATGAGGGGGAAAACCCGGAGAAGCGCACGTACGAGGGGGAACAAGATCGACAGGGTTGTTGTTGTGGTGTGGTTCTAAAAATAGAAATAGGCGTGGGGGTGGTGGTGGGGGTGGTGAAGGGAGGGAGGGAGGGAGGGAGGGAGGGGGAGGGGAGAAGGGGTGGGAGGGTCGTCAAAGCAAAGGAGGAAAAGCTGTCTTTCGGGAGAGATGGGTGGCCCTGAAAAGGGCCGTTGGAAAACAAACTGGAAACTGGAAACTGGAAACGGCAGGAACACTGGAACACTGGAAAAACTGCAAACGATGGGAAACGGATAAAAACAGTGGGGCAGCATGACCCAGGCGTTAGTCACTTTGTTCAGAGGATTTCACTTCTCCATCCTCTACTTCCATCTCATCCTCGGACGGAAGGTGTCGTCGGCGCTTTGAAACGTGTTTTCGTGAGGGGGACCTGTTCCGTTTTCTTTTCTCTAGACGAGGTGTGATGCCTACCCGGAGTTGTGTGAGACATTCTTTTAGGTCGAGGACATCGGAATGCATGTCTTCGATGAGATGAAGCACTTGTGCCACGGATGTCACGGGTGTCACGGGGGCCACGGGGGTCACGGTTGCCACGGATGCCACGGATGTCGACGTGGACGGTGTTGCTAACGTTTTCTTTCGACTGGGTTCTCGGCAATCTGCAGCGAAATGACCCAGGGCTCCACAGTTGTAACAGCGGTCCAGGCGATGGGGAGTCTTCTTTCGACGGGGTTCTGGGCAATCTGCAGCGAAATGACCCAGGGCTTCACAGTTGTAACAGGGGCCCTGGTACTGCTTCTCCTGCTTCTCCTGCTTCTCTTGACTGTTCAGCTTCGGACAGACATAGTGACGGTGACCTTGAGTGTGGCACTCGGTACATGTCACTTCAGGGCAGTACAGGTAACTGTGACTGTCGGTCTGGCACATCCTACAACTGTATCGAGTTGACATGATGGGTTTCATAGAATGCAGTGTGTGTGAGTGGCTTCGCTCTTGTTTTGTTTTTATAGGAGAGGCACTGACACCCTGCTTCCTGATTGGTTCCCCAGGCCGCGCCCCCGATTGGTTCGTTCCGGGGCCTGGCCCGCACCTCGGTTTTCCAAAACGGACCGACCCCTGTGTTTCTTTTCCATAGGAAATGGATTTTACCATGGGAGAGAAAGCACAACCCCGGTTCTGCCAATCAGAGCCCCGCCTGGTCCGAGCGCCGCTTCTGATTGGTCGACCACCCAGGCTTCGGATTGGTCCGATTTCGATCCGGTTTTTATCGGGATGTGCATTTCGATCCTGTTTTGTTTTTTCTTCATTCTACAGACAACATAACACGACTATGAGTTTTTAACAAAAAATTTAATCCCCCTGATCACATGAACCAACACCACAAAACAAAAGTCACAGGATGAGGGGGGACATCCCTGTGATTTTTGTGAACGCGAGGGTAGGAACGTCTGACCACTTTGAAAAAAAAAAAAAGAAACGTTGTCACTTGGGGTGAACAAGACACTCGACTCTTCGTTTCCGTGCTTCTTGGGACACCAAACGTCTGTATTTTTCGTTCACTTCTCCATCAGGACAAAACACACACAAGTATTCGCAGGGGACTTTGGCATGCTTCAGATGTTCTTTCCAGGGTTGGTCTGTGGCTTCCCATTGGCGGAGTGCCACACCGCAGCAATAACAGGTCACACAGTCCCCTCGTCCTGGATAGAAATAGCCAGCCATGGTCATGTCATAAGGGGTCTGGGTCATCTGTTGAGGCCACGTTTTAAAAGACCTCAGACGTTCTTGAAATGAATCATAGTGGGGATGAGAAGGTTGACACAAGGTGTAAGAAGGAAAAGGTCTCTCCAGAACTTCACCGAGTCGACACCTGTCGTCCATCAAGAGTGTGTCGTCCATCAAGAGTGAACGTTTTCTCGCTTCTTGTTCTCTCGCCTTTTCAGACACCCACTCGGAATCGGTGACGACATCTCGGGAGGATGACATGGCATTCATAGAACGTCTTTGCTCCATGATGACGGTGACTTCACTGAAAGAAGGTCTGAGGGTTCGCCTGCTTTTATGAAACTCTCCACCCTACACCCTTCAACGGAAGGTCATGACTTTAGCTTTTATGAAACTCTCCACCTCCTCCACCTCATCACGTGACGTCATCCTGTGTTTGGGTTGACGGACACACGGCATGACATGGCACACGGGGAGGGGTGTAGGGGGGTTCGATGCGTCCTGGAATGACTGACACCAGGCAGCTGATCTTTCAAGCATGGCCTTTCTCTTTTATCTATTTTTAATTTTAATGTTTCACTTTGGTGTGCACTGACATGACAGAGGCACAGACAGACAGACAGACAGACAACATAGACGACATCTCAACTCAACCTCTACCCTCGGTTCGGCACTCTATTGGAGTTGAGATCAATCAAGACACAAAGAGTCAGTTCAATCAATCACTGTTTAATCATGAAAAAAACCAATCACAACCCGATACAATGGAAATACGAAAAGTCAATGGAGGAGGGAGTGCTTTGCATGTCCCTACAACCACCGCCACAACAACAACAACAACAATAACGCGACCACGTTTTCCTCTTCCATCTTCAAGCTCTTCCATCTTCAAGTCCCTAAGAGGGGGTCCTCCCTCAAACCTGTGAGAGGCCCAACCGTTCAACACGTACAGTCTATGGCCTCCCTGAAACAGACATGACACATCACTTGATCACGGTTGCAACTGACGTGTTGACAAAGTTCTTCGAGTGAAGAGGAGGATCACCATAAGATGTGATCCTCAGATGCGATAGGCATGTCATCATGTGTCACTATGCTGTCATAGGTCAACATACTACAAGTACAGTCTATGAGCTCCAGCTCACAGGCATGACACATCACTTGCCCGCTGTTGCAACTGATGTATCTTAACATGTTGTTGTGTCGGCAAACACGACATTCGCGTTGTAGGGGAGTGAGTTGAGCTTCTCCATAAGGATCCAGGTCAACGTTGTCATCATCATCATCATCGTCGCAAACCATGGGCGTACCTGAGGAGTAGACATGAACCTCTTCCGGGGATGCTGGTGACCAAGAAGCCTCGAGCAGGGGAAGCGTGTCCAGATCCATGGAAGGGAGAGTGGCCATCTTGAGCGCTTCATGATCATCGAGGTCACCCGTCGCCATCGTCACAGGGGCATTCGGTGAATAGGTGGGCTCCCGAGGGGTTTGTTCCGACCACTGTTCTAGCACGGACTGGGCTGAACTGACATCAGGGGTCCTGTCAATCATAAGGACAGAGTCCATTTAGGATAGGCATAGGTCATGCATATGAATCACATCAAGAATGACTGAGACAAAGAAGAGCAGGGTACTTACAGTTGTTCTTGAGGAGAGATCTTCAGAGATAATTTCTTCCGTGATCGTCTTTTTGCAGGCGTTGCAGGTGTGGTGGCAGGTTTCAAAAAGGATGTCCCCCTCGTGTCGATGTCTGTTGTCGCCGCAGTCGTGGTTGCTGTGGCTGCTGTGGTGGTGGTGGTGGTGGGGACTGGCGCTGTGGGGGTGGGGGTGGGGGTGGGGGTGGGGGGTTTTGCCGTTGCTGTGGGGGTCACCACGGCTGTGGGTTTGCGTGTCTTTTTCTTCTGGATCTTCTTGATCGTCTTCTTCGATGTGCCTTTCTCGGGTTCAGTCAGCTTCCTCATCTTTGAACGTATCTGGTCGCACATCAGGTTGTCACCCTTCGCACGTAACTTGGCGTACGCGTCGTCGGTCTTCATCTTTAAACACAGCAAGTCGTACACTTCACCCCACAGTTCAGCAGTCATGTCACCGTTCCCCTCTCCACTGCTTCCTTGACCACTCATGTCGCTTCGTGTCTTGTCATTCAACCGTTTCGACATGTTGTTCGACATGATGTTGTCCGGATGTTCTGTTCGTTGTTGTTGTTGTTTCTTTCCAAGTCTTCACGGAGGCACGTCAACACTTGATGGTACTCTCTCCAAACACGCGTTTCTTCCAGATAAAACGCCAACAACCAACACAACGTGAGGAACATCAATCAGAGGGGACGATGTTGTTGCTTGGTCCGTTCAGTGAAAAGTGATGACCGGAGAGCGTCGGTCGTATTAAAAGCCACGGAGGTCCTGCTTTCTGATTGGCCCGTTCCGGGGCCTGACTTTCACCTTGGTTTTCCAAACTGGACCGACCCTTGTGTTTCTTTTCCATAGGGTTAGGCTTGTAGCGTGAGAGAGAAAGCACAACCTCGGTTCGACCAATCAGAGGCCACCCTGGTTCGAGCGCGGCCTCTGATTGGTCGATCATCCAGGCCTCGGATTGGTCCGATTTCGATCCGTTTTTTTCTGTAGGGGTCCATGTCGATTCAGTTTCGATCCGCTGTCATGAAAAATTTTAGTGAAAGTCGTCTCTGTACCCAAAGGAGAGCGTGTCTACAGGTAGCCCTGTGATGTCGTCGTAGACGATGCGTCGCTTGTCGTACACGGTATGATAGTCTTTTCGGGTGGGTCGGGTCACGAGTGCGTTTTCGTGCCGAGGGCCTTTTCGAATGATCTGATGAGGGTAATCCAAACTGATTTTCTCCTCCTCTTTCCCAGGCCGTTGTCCCAGTATCAGTCCTTTCATGGTGTCAAAGTTGAGATGGCGTTGGTTTCGGTAATTCAAAGTGAACCCTCGCACTTTGCAGGTCATGCGCGTTCCATCGGGTCTGGGGTTCATTAACTCGTAGCCATAGTTTTTGGGGCCTCCCGACACAAACGTCTTGATGGTGTTTCCGTCCAGTTCATCCGTAAACTCGCCCAACGAATGACCCAGCTCTGGATTCGCGTCGTGGGGTCGATGAATGTAAATGACGCTGTCCGTGTCAAAGTACAAGACCCTGCGGTCCACCAGGGCAAGGGTCTCGTACAGCTTGAGACGTGCTTGGGCGGTGACCCAAGCAGCGATGGCGACGTTGAAATGAGAATGAGGGGTTTGGAATTCTTTCTGCTGGGTATAGGTCACTTCCACCATGTGTTCGTTGACCACGACCACATCCTCGATGGTATTGCGTTCATCCCTCCACAAGGCAAAGTACTGTACAGGATCGTTCATATACACGTTCTGACTGTAGTCTACCCGTTGCCCAAACTTGCCCCAGAGCGAATTCAGTTGCATCTTGGCAATCGTGCGACGTCCTGGATTTTTTTCGATGCGGTCCTTGTCCAACCCAATGCCTTCTTTGTCGTAGATCTCCTGGATGTACGCGTCGTGATCCGTACATCCTTCGGGGTATCCGCTGGCTTCGAGCTTCTCCTTGAAATGTCGATCGATGTAAGTGTCAAAGAGTCCCACTTGCTGGGTGTCGGGGTCATGCTGTGCAAAGGTGTCAAAATGCCATACGTCGTAGATCTGAAGCACCCGGTAGTCATACTTCTTCACGGCTTCCTGGAGTTCTACGGTTGCGTACGTCCCCACCCATGACCTCTCTTCGTCCGTGTGCTCGCAGGGGGAGTCTGACCGGGTGTCGGCACACGTGCGGCACAAAGGACAGAGCAGTTTGCCACCCGATCTGTTAGGCAGTAGCGGATGGTAAAGTCGTTTCGGGGGTAAGACACGGCATTGGATCAGGCCTTTCAGTTCAAACAACGTGTCCACAGGGGGTTGATGGAGAAGGGTCGGGTGTCCCGTGGGAAACGCTCCGGTCTTACAAATGTAGGGGTAAAGGGAACAAATATCGATGTACTTGATGGTTTCACCTTCTTGGGCTTCGTAGCATAATCGCGTCGCATTGGTGCGTCCTCCATAGAAGGCGTCGCGAGGGTTGAGCGGCCCGGGGACGTGGATACAGTGGGGGCCCTGCAAGAAAGCACGCAGTGCGGAGTCCTCCCGTTGCATTTTCGTAAACTCGTGCTCCCACAGGGTGACGATCCGTTTCACCTCAGGGTGTTGACTCAAGAGACTCAAGCGGTAGTGGGTGTCGGTGTAACGGGCTCCCAACGACGAGCCCAGGACGGGATGCGGTTCTCCACGTTGGGTCTTGTGACAGGTCTGGCACCCATGCCAGAAACAGCCCAGGAATTCGTAGACGGTGCCTGTCGCTGGATCGTAGCCATCCACGGTGTACCGATGTTGACCCCCTCCACACGTGAACTCTTTTTCACCGCCATTCCTGGCGTGCTGGAGGTGCAGATGGGGATCCGTTTCCATCAGATAGTGGAGCCAGTGCATACAGGCCTGAGAATAGATTCTCTTGGGTTGGTAGCCTTGAGGTGGGAGAATGGCGATGGTATTGGGTTTCAGGTCGTGTTTTCGGAAGGATTTGATGGTGAACGCTGCAGCACTTCCACAAAGGGATCCATGCCCACCGAGTGAATGGCGTTCTGTCGGAAGTCGGCGCATCCCCGTCTCAAAATGTCCACATCGCTTTGGCAGTAGGTTAAAAGTTCTCCTTGTAAGTCGAACAAGGCTCCTTCTTGCACTTTTTGGGTATGCCACTGGAGGAAGGCGGTGCGTTCTGCGGGAGACATGCCATCGGGATCGTACGTGACGGCTGGTGGATAGGGACCTCTGTAGGTTTGGTTGACTCTCGTATTAAAAAAGTGTGGAAAGTACCCTTTCTTCATTTCTTTCAGCCCAAAGCTCTTGGGAAAGGCTTTCAGGGGGTAAGGGATGAAATTTAAGCTGTCTTCGAAACATAACCGTCCCAGGGTCATCTGCAAAATTTGTTGGCCATGTCGGATCTTGGTGGGGAGTGTCACCAGGAGGGGGGACAGACCCTTCAGGACTAAGTGTAAATCATAGGATCGTGCATTATGGGCCATCACATAAATGCGATCCTCCTTCGGGACTGTATGACAGGAGGTGTTCTTGTTCTTTGGCTTCTTTGTTTTCTCCACTTCCATGGCCTCTTCCCCCTCTTCCATCTCCTCCCCCTCTTCCCCCAACTCCTCCCCCTCCTGCTGGGGTGATGCCTGTCGTTTGGAAGCGTGCTTTCTTGAGGGGGTGTCATCCCGTTTTCTTTTTTTCCCCAGGTGAGCTGTCGTCCCCTTGCGTGTGCTGCCCTCCTCTTCCTCTGGGTGGGGCTTCTTCTTGGGTATTTCAGGCAACGTGGTCAACCACACACACACATCATGTCGCGTGGTGGGGCCTCGAAACACGATCTCACGGCTGGGACCATACCCTTCTTCTCTCCATGGACAGTGTTCGCACAAGTTCTTGCTCACTTCACTGATGCATCGTCCACATCCCAGTTGCACCACGCACAAATTTGGAATATGTTCCCCCGTGTCTTGCATGCATTCAAAATCGTAGAAGGCGTATTGAACATGGTCTCGTAGGGGATGTTGTTCCTCTTCCCCCTCCTCCTCCTTCTCCGCTTCCTCTCCCTCCTCCTCCTCCTCCTCGTTTTCTTCACGGAGAGGCGTCATGTAACAGCGATGATCTGGGGTCATGGGTTCTCGGCACACCAAGCAGGGATGATCTTCGTCGAAGCACTTGTGGTGAGCCATGGGGGTCTCCAAGACGCGGACCAGCTGAAAACAGTTTGGGCACCTGTGAATCGATTGACAGACGCTGGGTTTTCCCTCTGACGGTGACTGGAGATGCTGGGTGTAACACGTTGGATTGGGGAACCAACCTTGACATGTCAAGCAAGGGATCCCGTGCTCTTCCTGGGGTCCACAATAACTAGAGTAGAAGCAGCGGTGACAGCGGTATTCCTTGGTGCAGGGATGTTTTTCGGGATGGTCGTAACGTTTGTCACAGCGTTCGCAGTAATGGACAGAGCCATAAAAAGCGGGCATGGAAGTGATGACATCGTAGTGCTGATCATGATGGTAGAGATGCAGCACGGTGGCGTGGGGTGGAGTCTCATCACACTTGTACAACAGTCTCTGACCCACCTCTTGACTGTAGACTTTCAGTTGATAATGCAGGGGGGCCAAGGCCCGTCCCACGCGTGCGAGGTCGTCCAGACCCCGACAGGGGCCTTCGGGCAGGCCAAGGCTTCGAAACAAGGTCCGTGCCCGTATGTCTTGAACGTCGACGCGATCCGTTCTCGTCAGTCTCTTTCGCTGGGCGGTCCATGCTGGGGTCAGAGGGTGAGGCTGGTGGGCATAATGCTGTGCCACCACCAGGGCCCGTGCCAAACAGGATTGATCTTGGTTGTACGATGCACTTTTTGCGTGTTAAAAAAGCTTCGAGTCCAATCACGTTTTTCAGTCGGAGATGGCCACTGCCCGATCCTAGCCTGTTGGGATCTGCGACGTGTACTAAGGTCACATCCATGGTGGCATCGATGTTCAGGTCTTTGTTGGACTGTTGGACTTTTTCCACGGCTTGCAAAATATCGAGCCCATGGAGATCTTCAAAACGTCGAAAGGGAATCCGTATGGGGGTGTTCAAAGCGGGATGATCGATACCTAGACCAATACGATCTCCCTTCTGACCTGATATCTGTTCATAAAAGTCATCGATCACCCTGTCAAATAAAGCTGGCAGTTCCATGGGGACGCGTTCCGGTGGAACGGTGTCCAAGTAGTCTGGGTTGAAAGTCAAACGATAAGTATGATTAGCAGTTCTTAGCCGTCTGGAGCGGGTGATATCTTTCCTCTCCAAACGATAGGGTGTACTTTGGTTGCTCGTCATGATAACGATGTGTGTCTGATGAACGTCTGTACTCTAAGAGGTGCTGAACGTCTGAGGGATGGACAACCCTTCCCCAAAACAGGATCGAAATCGGACCAATCCGAAGCCTGGATGGTCGACCAATCAGAAGACAGCAACGACCAATCAGAAGACAGCACCCGAACCGAGTTGTGCTTTCTCTCCCATGGTAAAATCCATTTCCTATGGAAAAGAAACACAGGGGTAGGTCGTTTTAGAAAACCGAGGTGCGGACCAGGCCCCGGAACAAACCAATCGGTGCGCTGCGTTTTGGACCAACCAGGAAGCAGTGAGTTTCGATCCGTTTCTTCCCCTATAAAACAAGCGTGGATTCGAGTGGGTCAGTGTATGTCACATAAAATCATCTAGAATGGCTGAAACAAAGAAGAGTGGTACGACGACGACGACGACGACGACGCGTGGCGAAGATGCGGTGATGGATAGTGCAGAACCTCATGGATACTGGAGTAAGAGTCATGCCGAGGAGGCGGTGTCACTGCTCAGTCAAACACCATCGCACTATTATCTACGCTTTGAAAGAAGGCTCGCTTCGTTTGAGACGTGGCCCACGCAAATGTATCAGACTGCTGAAGAGATGGCCCATGCGGGCTTTGTCTACACTCAGGGTGCCGATGGGGTATGCTGTTTCCAATGTGGGGTGCGGCTTAGACAATGGGCACCCCACGACGATCCTTGGGCGGCACATCACAAGTGGTCCCCAGACTGCGACTACCTCAAGCTAACCGGGTTGGTGAAACACCAGAAGAAGCTACAACTGCACTATCTCTGCGAAGAGAAACAGAGGTACACGAATGACGTAGCACGGCCGGCTGCCTAGGAGGATGTTTCCCGTGTCCTGCGTTCCCGTTCAAGTTCCCGTTCAAGTTCCCGTTCAAATGTTTTTCTTTTCTTGGTTGGAACCCCCAAGTGGACAGCAGCAGCAGAAAAGTGTTTCTTCCCCAAAACGGCCCTTTTCAGGGCCACCCATCTCACCCAAAAGACAACTTTCCTCCTTTGCTTTGCTAAACCCTCTGCCCCCTCCAAAACAAAGAACCCACATCCTCCCCTAGACCTCTTGGAGGCACACGTCTAAAAATACAATACATAGATATAAATAAATATAAATAGAGTTAGATCCATAGATCCATAGAGACACGTAGTACACCGCGTCAAACATCACGTGTGCATGAACACACGCGTCACAGTACGCCTGTCGACCTACACGAGTGCCAACACCTCGGTATCTTTAAATAATAATAATAATAATTTGAAAACACGCACAGGGTACGACGTTTGCATGACAACACATAAAGTACAACCATGACGTTCACATCGCGACACGAAGTCCATGACGCGTGCAAACGTCACGCAGGTGTATCGATCTTTCTCTATTCATCTCACTACGACACGACTCGATACACACACACACACAGGACACCACGTTTTGACTGACCACACGTTATTCTATGCATCAACGTCAACGTCTGTTTGAAGACATACACACACACACACGCATACATGACATTCCGATTGGCATGGGGGGTGTCACCACGTACATCGCGTAGGCATTCCCACGTTCATGTCTACCTAGGAAGGTCCACCTTCCTTTAGCATTCAGACGACCGTCTACCTCAAAAAATACCAAGGCTACCCAAGAAGAAAAAAAAACCGGATCGAAATCGGACCAATCCGAAGCCTGGATGATCGACCAATCAGAAGCGGCGCTCGGACCAGGCGGGGCTCTGATTGGTCGAACCGGGGTTGTGCTTTCTCTCCCATGGTAAAATCCATTTCCTATGGAAAAGAAACACAGGGGTCGGTCCGTTTTGGAAAACCGAGGTGCGGACCAGGCCCCGGAACAAACCAATCGGTGCTGCGGCCTGGCGAACCAACCGGGAGGCAGGGTGTCAGTGCCTCTCCTATAAAACAAGCGTGGATTCGAGTGGGTCTGTGTCACTTGTAAAATTGATTATAAAGAAAAGCATCATGATGAGCAGCAACAACAGCAACAGCAACAACACCGGCAACAACTACCCCCTGAAAGAAAACTGGGATGTAGAAATTGCTACAGTGGCACAACCTTTGCCCGGGTGGAAAGAAACATCACCACCACCCCCACCACCATGGTCTCCAGCGTGGCAATGTGCCCGGTGCCATGGGGGCCTGCCCGTCTATGCCCAGGGTACAAGGGTACGGGATGGAACTTTCGAGTGCGTCTACTGCGGGACCGTACTGAAGTACACCTACGTGCGTCGGTTAACGCACACCAGTAGGTGTCCTGTCAGACGCGACATGAAAGCTCCTCCGTGCCTTTGTACCGTGGGATGCACAACCATGTAAGGATCAAAACGGCCCTTTTCAGGGCCACCCATCTCTCCCGAAAGACAGCTTTTCCTCCTTTGCTTTGACGACCCTCCCACCCCTTCTCCCCTCCCCCTCCCTCCCTCCCTCCCTCCCTCCCTTCACCACCCCCACCACCACCCCCACGCCTATTTCTATTTTTAGAACCACACCACAACAACAACCCTGTCGATCTTGTTCCCCCTCGTACGTGCGCTTCTCCGGGTTTTCCCCCTCATCCCCGGACACGGAAGCGACGCCCTCTTGCATGCGTGCGCCACCGGACACGGATGCGACGCCATCTTGCATGCGCGCGCCACCGGACACGGATGCGACGCCATCTTGCAGGCGTGCGCCACCGGAAACGGAAGTGACGCCATCTTGGATGCGCGCGCAGGTATCCCATCATGCACTGCGCAGGTCACGTGACCGGAAACGGATGTGCCGCCATCTTGGTCCCAGAATCTGGAGCGGTCCCAGAATCTGGAGCGGTCCCAGACCGATGCTAGTTACTACTCCCGTGCCCCCAGTAACATTTAGAAAAGGTGTTATGTTAATTCCGCTACAATGATGACATGGGGACGCTTAATATGGCATGCTTGTTTGTGCATTGTTGTTTAACGCCACACTCGGCAATATTCCAGTTAATTAATGGCCGTAGTCAACTAAAGAAGTGATACATTAAATCCGTAAATAAATTAAGATAAGCTGGTATGTATTTCAAGGCGGTGTCCCAGTTTACACAGACCTTATGTGTGAAAAGTACAGTAAACTACGGTTATTACGAACTAAAAGGGACCAATAATTTTAGTTCGTTATAACCGTAGTTCGTTAACCGCGTGTATACAGGTCATATACAGCAAATAGACGGGACCAAAAAACAGTTCGTAATATCCGTCAGTTCGTTATAAGCGTGTTATAAACGTAGTTTACTGTATTCCCAATTAAGGTGTCCATTTCTCCCCATGTTGCAGGGTATGTTTAGAGACCGTCAGTAAATGATAAATCTGATACACTCTGAAACGCCTGTTAAATGTCTAATCTCATTGAAAATCTAATCATGTACATCACGAGACAAATGTGATGAACAATCTGCATTGTACTGTGGGCTGTGGTGGGCTTAAATTACTGAATACACTGTCTGTCTATATGCCTGTCTGTCTGTACGTGTGTCTGTATGTGTGTCAGTATGTATGTCTGTTTGCCTTATGTGTCTGTCTGTATGATTATGTGTCTGTCTATAACATACAGAAACAATGGGAAACCTTGTAACAATAGAGCCGTGTTGTGATTTAGAAGCTTGCAATTACATCTGACTGACCCCTCGAGTCAGCCACCCATCCGACCACACCAGTCACCCATCCAACCACCCCAGTCACCTATCCGACCATCCCAGTCACCCACCCAACAACCCCAGTCACCCATCCCACCACCCCAGTCACCTATCCGACAACCCCAGTCACCCATCCGACCACCCCAGTCACCTATCCGACCACCCCAGTCACCTATCCGACAACCCCAGTCACCCACCCAACAACCCCAGTCACCCATCCGACCACCCCAGTCACCCATCCGACCACCCCAGTCACCTATCCGACCACCCCAGTCAACCATCCGACCACCCAAGTCACCCATCCGACCACCCCAGTCACCCATCCCACCACCCCAGTCACCTATCCGACAACCCCAGTCACCTATCCGACCATCCCAGTCAACCATCCGACCACCCAAGTCACCTATCCGACCACCCAAGTCACCCATCCGACCACCCCAGTCACCCATCCGACCACCCCAGTCACCTATCCGACCACCCCAGTCACCTATCCGACCACCCAAGTCACCCATCCAACCACCCCAGTCACCCATCCGACCACCCCAGTCACCCATCCGACCACCCCAGTCACCTATCCGACCACCCAAGTCACCCATCCGACCACCCAAGTCACCCATCCGACCAGCCCAGTCACCCATCCGACCACCCCAGTCACCCAGCCAACAGACCACGCCAGTTACCCATCCGACCAGCCCAGTCACCCATCCGACCACCCAAGTCACCCAGCTGACCGACCACCCCAGTCACCTATCCGACCACCCCAGTCACCCATCCGACCACCCCAGTCACCCAGCCAACAGACCACGCCAGTTACCCATCCGACCAGCCCAGTCACCCATCCGACCACCCCAGTCACCCAGCTAACAGACCACCCCAGTCACCCATCCGACCACCCCAGTCACCCATCCGACCACCCCAGTCACCCATCCGACCACCCCAGTTACCCATCTGAAGGACCACTCCAAACAACTACTCAGCTGACCACCACAGTCACCAACCTGCCTGACCACTCCATTTAGAAGCTTGACTGAAGAACACACATGTGACACGTAGCGTGTATGTTGGGCACCGCACATGTCAAGCATATTTTATGACCGCTTCATTCAATGCAATTACATATTTTAAAGTAGAACATTTCATTGCAAAGTTGGAAACCCTGCTGGGAAATCATGACCACCCCAGTCACCAATCTGACCAACAACTGCAGTCACTGACCGATGGGCCACCCCACTCACCCAACCAAAAAAGACCCAAGGTCAACCACCCACCCGACCACCAACGTATAACCACCTACCCGACCACCCGAGTCACCCACCTACCCGACCACCCCAATCACCCATCTGACCGACCACCCCAGTCACCCAGCTGACCGACCACCCCAGTCAACCACCTACCCGACCACTCCAGTCACCCAGCTGACCGACCACCCCAGTCACCCAGCTGACCGACCACCCCAGTCACCCAGCTGACCGACCACCCCAGTCAACCACCCACCCGACCACCCCAGTCACCCACCAACCCGACCACCCCAGTCACCCACCTACCCGACCACCCCAGTCACCCAGCTGACCGACCACCCCAGTCACCCACCTACCCGACCACCCCAGTCACCCAGCTGACCGACCACCCCAGTCATCCACCTACCCGACCACTCCAGTCACCCAGCTGACCGACCACCCCAGTCACCCAGCTGACCGACCACCCCAGTCAACCACCTACCCGACCACCCCTGTCACCCAGCTGACCGACCACCCCAGTCACCCATCTGACAGACCACCCCAGTCACCCATCTGACAGACCACTCCAGTCACCCAGCTGACAGACCACCCAAGTCACCCATCTGACAGACCACCCCAGTCACCCATCTGACAGACCACTCCAGTCACCCATCTGACAGACCACTCCAGTCACCCAGCTGACCGACCACCCAAGTCACCCATCTGACCGACCACCCCAGTCACCCATCTGACAGACCACTCCAGTCACCCAGCTGACAGACCACCCCAGTCAACCACCTACCCGACCACTCCAGTCACCCAGCTGACCGACCACCCAAGTCACCCATCTGACAGACCACCCAAGTCACCCATCTGACCAACTACTCCAGTCAACCACCTACCCGACCACCCCTGTCACCCATCTGACAGACTACCCCAGTCACCCATCTGACCGACCACCCCAGTCACCCACCAACCCGACCACCACAGTCACCAATCTGACCGACCACCCCAGTCACCCATCTGACAGCCCACCTTGTCACCCATCTGACAGACCACCCAAGTCACCCATCTGACCAGCCACCCCAGTCACCCATCTGACAGACCACCCAAGTCACCCATCTGACAGACCACCCAAGTCACCTTTCTGACAGACCACCCAAGTCACCTTTCTGACAGACCACTCCAGTCAACCATCTGACAGACCACCCAAGTCACCCATCTGACAGACCACCCAAGTCACCCATCTGACCGACCACTCCAGTCAACCATCTGACAGACCACCCAAGTCACCTTTCTGACAGACCACCCAGTCACCCATCTGACAGACCACCCAAGTCACCCATCTGACAGACCACCCAGGTCACCTTTCTGACAGACCACCCAAGTCACCCATCTGACAGACCACCCCAGTCACCCATCTGACAGACCACCCCAGTCACCCATCTTACAGACCACCCCAGTCACCCATCTGACAGACCACCCAAGTCACCTTTCTGACAGACCACCCCAGTCACCCATCTGACAGACCACCCAAGTCACCCATCTGACAGACCACCCCAGTCACCCATCTGACAGACCACCCAAGTCACCCATCTGACAGACCACCCGAGTCACCCATCTGACAGACCACCCAAGTCACCTTTCTGACAGACCACTCCAGTCACCCATCTGACAGACCACCCAAGTCACCTTTCTGACAGACCACTCCAGTCACCCAGCTGACAGACCTCCCAAGTCACCTTTCTGACAGACCACTCCAGTCAACCACCTGATCGACTACTTGAGTCAACCACCAACCCGACCACTCGAGTGAACCACCCACCCAACGACCCCAGTCACCTTTCTGACCGACCACTCCAGTCAACCACCCACCCGAACACTCCAGTCAACCACCTACCCGACCGACCACCCAAGTAAACAACGCGACCAACCCAGTAAAAAACACAACCACCCCAGTAAACAACACAACCACCCCAGTTACCTGACCAACCACCCCAGTCACCTGACCAACCACCCCAGTTACCTGACCAACCACCCCAGTCACCTGACCAACCACCCCAGTCACCTGACCAACCACCCCAGTCACCTGACCAACCACCCTAGTTACCTGACCGACCACCCAAGTAAACAACGCGACCACCCCAGTAAGCAACACGACCACCCTAGTCCCCTCCTTACCGCGTCCCCTGAACGGCCACCTCAGTCATCCGACCGACCGACCACCAAAGTCAAAACCCGACCGACCACCCAAGTCACCCATCTGACAGACCACCCAAGTCACCCATCTGACCGACCACTCCAGTCAACCACCTACCCGACCACCCCTGTCACCCATCTGACAGACTACCCCAGTCACCCATCTGACCGACCACCCCAGTCACCCACCAACCCGACCACCACAGTCACCAATCTGACCGACCACCCCAGTCACCCATCTGACAGACCACCCCAGTCACCCCAGTTATCCACCCGACCAACCACCCCAATTACACACTCGACCACCAGTCACCGGCCTGACTGAACACCCCTGTCACAGAACTGACCACCCCAGTCACCCGACCGACCGACCGACCATGTGTCTGACAGAAGTGATGCAAGTCTACATACTCCTGTCCATGTGCTTCACAGAAGTGGTACATGTCTACATACCCCTGTCCATGTGACTCACAGAAGTGGTACAAGTCTACATACCCCTGTCCATATGCCTGACAGATCACCCCTGTCACACGACTGACCGGCCACCCTTGTCATCCACTCCTTGGAGCAACCCAGTCACACACCCGACCGACCGCCCCGGTGATCCAATCGACTGACCAACCCAGTCACCCAACCAACCACCCCAGTCACACAGACCGACCGACCATCCAAGTCACCCACCCGACCGACAGCCCCAGTTATCAATCCGACCGACCAGCCTAGACACCCACCCGACCGACTGCCCCAGTTATCAATCCGACCGACCAGCCTAGACACCCACCCGACCGACTGCCCCAGTTATCAATCCGATCGACCAGCCCAATTACACACCCGACCACAAGTCACCCACCTGACCGAACATCCCTGCCGCCCGACTGACCGACCAACCAACCAACCTCACAGACTGCCCAAGTCACCTAACCTGTCACCTCAGTCACCTGATCGACCGAGTACTCTAGTCTCCCAGTTACCCGACCAACCACCCTAGTCACCCATCCGACCAACCGCCCTAGTCACCCACCCGACCAACCACCCTAGTCACCCACCTGACCGAACATCCCTGCCACCCGACTGACCGACCAACCAACCAACCTCACTGGCTACCCAAGTCACCTGACCTGTCACCTCAGTCACCTGATCGACCGAGTACTCTAGTCTCACAGTTACCCGACCAACCACCCTAGTCACCAATCCGACCGACTACCCCAGTCACCCACCCGACCGACCGAGTACCCTAGTCTCCCAGTTACCCGACCAACCACACTAGTCACCAATCCGACCGACTACCCTAGTCACCCATCCGACCAACTACCCTAGTCACCCATCCGACCAACCACCCTAGACACCCATCCGACCAACTACACTAGTCACCCATCCGACCGACCGACCAACCCAATTATATAATTACAGACCCGACACCAGTCACCCGACTGACCGACCGACCAACCGGCCAAGTTACCCATCTGATACGGTCCATGTGCCTCAAGGAAGTGATGAAAGTCTACATACCCCTGTCCATTTGCCAAAGGAAGTCATACATTTCTACATACCCCTGTCCATGTGACTCACAGAAGTGATACACGTTTACATACCCCTGTCCATGTGCCTCACAGAAGTCATACATGTCTACATACCCCTGTCCATGTGACTCACAGAAGTGATACACGTTTACATACCCCTGTCCATGTGCCTCACAGTAGTGATACATGTCTACTTACTCCTGTCCATGTGCCTCACAGAAGTGGTACAAGTTTACATACCCCTGTCCATGTCACTCACAGAAGTGATACATGTCTACATACCCCTGTCCATGTGACTCACACAGTTGATACATGTCTACATACTCCTGTCCATGTGCCTCACAGAAGTGGTACAAGTTTACATACCCCTGTCCATGCGCCTCACAGAAGTGGTACATGTCTAGATACCCCTGTTCATGTGCCTCACAGACTTGATACATGTCTACACTACCCCTTTCCATGTGGCTCACAGAAGTGATACATGTCTCCATACCCCTGTCCATGTGGCTCACAGAAGTGATACATGTCTTCATACTCCTGCCATGTGCCTCACAGAAGTGATACATGTCTACAGCCTGGTTTAATGAGAGGTTCTTCCAACATGATGCTTCTCGTCTATAACTGATACCCCTTCACAACACCACCAAATCAAATAGTAATTTATTGCACCAAAATTCACCAACCTAAATACACTCATGTACACTTTGACATATATACAATAGTTGCAACGTGCATCATATGAGTTCCTGGAACTATGGCAATACACATGAACGAAAGTTTAAGCGAAAACATCACTAACATAAATAAATTTGTATTATTTGTTAATGTTTACATATCAATTTACAGGTGCATAAACAAATATACATATAAACATATAAACAATACCATGCATAACAATGACATATAAACAATATGATTCATCATATTC